ACAAGTCTGGCTGGCTCGGCCTACCATCTGGTACGTTCAGAACCAGACTGCTCACCTCCACTGGTCTGAGCCTCTCAGAGTTCCTTGCTGGTGCCCCTGTGCCCACTCCTGCCCTCCACCTGCCCCATTTGCCCATTTACTCTCAGCGCAGCAGCAGTGAGACTGAGCCATTTAAAATCTGAGTCAGATTCCATCTCTGTGTTGCTCAAGCACCCTAGGACCTGCACTTCACCAAAGTCAAAGAAAAAGTGTAGACAATAGCCCAGAAGTCTGTACACGGCCTGCTCCCTACCTTGGTAGCCCCATCCATTACACCACATTCACCTCAGGCACTCAGCTCTAACCATACTACCTTCTCCGTATTCCCTGAACTCAATAAACATACCCCTACCCCAGGACTTCTGCACCGGCCATTCCTTTTTCCTGGAATGCCTTCCCCCAGATGCCTATGAGGCTCAATCCCTCTCTTCTTCCAGCTCACATGTCACTTTCTTAGAAGGGCATTTGCTGACCTGCCTGAATAGAATGGCCCCCCTACTCCTTCTACCCCATCTAATGTTTCTCCCATCATTCTCAGACTTTATATTTACTTACTTATTTGTTTATTTATTCTGTCTCCCCCAGGAGAATTTGAGTTCCCTGACCTAGAACACCCCAACTGAAGTTTCATTGTCACCCATTCTGCTTGCTATAGTTAAGTGAGCTTGATTGTAATAAAGTAATATAGGAGACAGGAAGGCATGAGTACCATGAAATGTGCCACAAGATGACACCAAACAGACTCATTTACAATCTGGTGGTCACACTACAGACTTAGCATGACAAAGCAATTCCCTGGTGAGAAGGACATTGGGGCACTTTGGTACCAGCAATGCAACTATGGGCAGGGGACTTAACCTCTCCAGCCTCGGCTGCCCTACCTATGAATGAAGTGGTGTAAGGAGGTCAGGTGGAATGACGCTTAGCAGCATTGTTTAAAAACCAATTCAAGTTCAACCAAGCAAATTGGAAGGATCTAATAAGCTCTATTAAACAATTTGCACACCTCGCCTTCAGCAAGTAGACTGGTGTGCTATTGACCTGGAGAAGGAAAGGTTTTTAAAGGGAGAGAGGGAGTGGGGGAAAAAAAGGAGGTCATTAGGAGAGAATCCATTGTTTTAGGCAAGGTTGCCCTCCTAAGGGGAACAAAAGGGGTCTTTCAATAAATTTCCTAGTGCTGACCAGGAAATCCCATTGATGGGTTAAAGGTCACATTCTGGAGGGTGGGGCTGAAATTGCAGTTGGTTTAGGCACCAAGTCTTGGTCTGCTGACATGAAACAATTAGCATGAACCACTACTCCATCTTTGTGCCTGTGGTTTTCTTTTTCACTATTCCCCCTTTTTGATCAGATTCTCAGCTCAACCGAGAGATGTGATAAAAATTAAGGCATCAGCACCACTCGCACTACTGCTCCGTATTTCCCACAGCTTTTCTTGAGCCTTTGCCTGGTATTCACAGGTGATGATGTTTTTGCTTAATCTCTGTGATATTCATGGATTACAACTTCAGGTTCACAATTTTTAAGTTGGTCATCCTCTTCCTTCTTTTTATGACGTTCCAGTCTCAGAGTGGTAGGTAGCGACCACAAAAATGCATTTAAAGCTCTGAGACAATACAAGTCAGGGAGATTATGATGATTCCGTGTGTTTGGAGTGCACTTCAGACCCATGGTCCACCAGACCAAGGCAATCAAAATTCCATAAATGAAAGAAGACCCCTCTGAAGGCGTTGCCTTTTAAAGGCAAGTGGCTTTTTCTGTGATTCTATGTACCTGAGTTTCAACTTCCCCAGAAATGTTAATCCCAGTGCAGCAGGTGGTGCTGGCCAGAGCACAGACACCTCCCAGCTTAGCTGAAAGATAATGAAAATTTGGCCAAATATTCTAAGGATCTTCATTGGGCATCTATTGTCTTAACAATGGAACATGCAATATCTTCAAGAGTTAAGGAGAGGCTTCTAAGTATATTTTTATTTACATTTATTCCTTAGCCAACTTGACCGACCACACATTAAAATTCCTTTCCCAAAAACGTTCTACAAGATTATTTTTCACATCTTGATTTTGTCTTACATATTCCATAGCCAGTTTTACTTTAAGGCTTCAGGACAAAATGACTTCCTTTTCTCTCTTTCAAAAAAAACCCAAACCATTTCTGTTCCTCAGACCTTCTCTCACTGAAAACACACACCCTACATTTCTTCAATACAGAGATGTGTCCCTTATTGTTTCTAGTAGCCTTATTTACACTAGAATTCTTCTAGAAGCCCTGAATTCTAGAGAAAACTAAGTAGTAAGCAATTGCCAGCTATAACACCAGCATCCTTTAACTTTGCAAATTTATGAATATATTTCATAATTCTTAGAGGCATATGCTTTTTCCAGTTTTTTAATGTAGCACTAACATATCCAAAAATCTTTTCATTTGTCTGTAATAACCAGAAGTAGATAAAAACTATGTTAAGTAATCAATGTTTCATTGTTTTATCTTATTTGGAAATGTTCTAGATATTCAATGTATTAACTTAACTCGTTACTTTGCAAACATTTAAGGTTTCAGGTCACCAAAAAGGTTTTGGAAGCTATTTTTTTTACCACTTTTTTTATTAAGGTATCATTGATATACACTCTTATGAAGGTTTCACGAGAAAAACAATGTGGTTACTACATTCACCTTTATTATTGAGACCCCCGCCATGCCCCATTGCAGTCACTGTCCATCAGTGTAGTAAGATGCCACAGAGTCCCTACTTGTCTTCTCTGTGCTACACTGTCTTCCATGTGACCCCCCACACACCATGTGCACGAATAATAATATCCCACAATCCTCTTCTCCCTCCCTCCCAACCCACCCTCCCCAACCCCTCCCCTTTGGTAACTACTAGTCCCTTCCTGGAGTCTGTGAGTCTGCTGCTATTTTGTTCCTTCCGTTTTGCTTTGTTTTTATACTCCACAAATGAGGGAAATCATTTGGTATTTGTCTTTCTTTGCCTGACTTATTTCACTGAGCATAACACCCTCTAGCTCCATCCATGTTGTTGCAAATGGTAGGATTTGTTTCTTTCTTATGGCTGAATAGTATTCTATTGTGTATATGCACCACATCTTCTTTATCCATTCATCTAGTGGTGGACACTTAGGTTGCTTCCATATCTTGGCTATTGTAAATAGTGCTGCGATAAACATAGGGGTGCATCTGTCTTTTTGAATCTGAGAAGTTGTTTTCTTTGGGTAAATTCCAAGGAGTGGAGTTCCCGGGTCAAATGGTATTTCTATTTTTAGTTTTTTGAGGAACCTCTATATTGCTTTCCACAATGGTTGAACATTGGAAGCTATTTTTAAGTAAAAGTTTTATCATACCAAGTTACTATTGACAAATTTTGTGACAGAGATAATATGAGCTTATTCTTAATAAATGTAGAAGGAATCAAAGTTTCATATTTAATGTTGGTAGTTTTAAAGAAATGTCTTTTAATTAGATCAATAATTTTAATTAGATTTTGTTTATTAAAGATTAATCCCAGATCATGTGAACTTGAAAAACATTTGGGTTAGTTTTTGAGAGTTTTAGAATAGCCAGTCCTTAAAAGCATTTGTCTTTAAGCCAACTAAATAGAACTTTTTAAAAATTAATTTTAACAAAAACATCCAGAGGTAGATAAATATCATACATTGGTAACACACATATATAGGAATACTTGAACAGAGACTCCATAGTTACTAATATTTGTGGAGAAGACACATAAGATTTGTATTTATCTTAGGGAGGCTGCGATCTGGGCAAGAGAGATCTTTTACAGCTTATATTTTAAAAAGGCCATCCCCCAACTTTTTCCCCTGTAGTCTCAGCTTACATTTCAAAGACATGACATGACAAGGGAGTTCGGTTTATTTACATAAAACAAACAAACAGGTATGTGCACCTCAACCCTCCAGCACAAACCAAAAGATGTCACTGTGAACTGGCCAGGAGAAGACGGGCACCACCAGAGATTCCCAATGTGGACAAATGAGCAGACTCCAGTAAATGAAGCTGCAGACTGGAACTGGAGAAGAGATTAAACCGACAAACCCTGGTGAATGGGAGCTGTGGACTGGATCCAGAGAAGAGATTCCAATGTGGAATCACAGACTGAACCAAGGGCTAAGAACTGGCTCTCTGTGAGAGCCTAGAATCTAAATCAACCCATTAACCCTGGACTGGAGAGGGGTGCTACACCTACGTGTCTAGTTGTCTCCAGATGCCACCAGACGTTCACTTCACATCCCACCACTGCCACCAAATCTGTTCAAAAAACAAAATTCAGCCAAGTATATTTGAAGCTCTAATCAGCTTTACTAAACAATTAATGTGTTGGGTGGCACCGTCTCTAGCAAGCAGAGAGGTAGCTCAACATACCATAGGAAAGGAAGGTTTCTGAAAGGCAAAGAGCATAAAAAAAGGAAAGAAAATTGTTAGCAAGACATCATTGTTTAGACAGGATCGCGCTCCCGAGGGGGAAGGGTGTCCCAGGGGACTACCTCCAAGAGACTCCACTTTGGCTGGATAAAGTCACATTCCTTGGGGGGCTGAAACTGCACTTACGTTTGTATTAAGTCTTGGCTTGCTGTCGTGATTGGCATGAGGACTCATCTTTGGGCCCAGGATTTTCTTTTTAACAGCTTGGTGCCTGGCATTCATATCAATGAATGTCTCAAGGTAATTACACACAACATTACTGAGCCCTTTCTGCATGCCAGCCCCCAACCTCTGCACCCACAGATGGTCTGGCTCCTCCCCACCTCCCCTCTAAGGAGGCCTCTGGAGCCAGTGCCTGCTGAGCCTAAGCCAGGGGTGCCTCCTTATGCCTCCATCCTCTGTGATATGGACTTAGTGACGCTTTTCTCACAGGGTCCTGTTGGGAAGGGAGCACTCTTTAATGGTGACTTCTGGTGATTTTAATGTCTCCCATTTCTTCTAGTTTCTTTCTAGGACACATCCCTTGCTTTTGGAAAAAGGATGAGGTTTGTGGCCGCGTGCTCCAAGATGTGTTTTTGGACTGGTGGGTCCTAACTTGTCATTTCTTGCTCTTACTCCCATCCAGGTCCCTCATGGGATAGCGCCCCCATCCAGCACACATACTCTCCACTTCCTGGCCAGGTCATTCCCTTCCTTGGCAGTCCCTCCCCTGGGTGGAGAGGCAGACCAGGCTGGTTTAGAACACAAGCTCTGCCTTTTGCTAACTGACTTTGGCTAACTGATCTTAGACCAGCCATCAGACACTGTGAGCCTCAGTTTCTTCATCTGTAAACTGGGTGGGTGTTTCTAGGTAACAGTCATTATTTGGGGTGATGATTTACCCTTTTCAAATCATTTTCAAAGACATGATATTGCTTGATTTCCAGCACATCCTTTTGGGGTGGAGTAATGTAGCAATCCTATTTTAATGGATGTGGAAACTGAGGCCCAGGGGGGGAGGTGACTCAGTTGTGAATCAACAACAGGACAGAGCCTTAGCCCCAGGCCCATGCTGAGCCCTCTCCTTGGAGGGGACACTCTTTTCCTCATCTGAACCTGGGCCAATGATATCACCTCTCCAGTAGCTGACAGCCTTCTCTGGGGCACTTTGATTTCCAGGGCTAAGAAGTATGGACCTGTTGTGCGGGTCAACGTCTTCCACAAAACATCGGTCATCATCACGAGCCCCGAGTCGGTCAAGGTAGGAAGCTGGGTGGTTTCCATGGGAAAAGCTCTTCTCTTCACTGGGATGGGGGCAGGGAATTTGGCTCTATAGACCGTGGGAGAAATGTTCCAGAGTCACCTGCATTTGGGCTGGTTTCCCAAAGACCCAAAAGGGTAAGGCATCTTTTCCTCTAATCACCCATCATTTGGGGGGCTCCTAAGGCAGGGCTGTTTGATGTGGGGTGAGTAGGGACTTTGCTGTCAGACCCATGTGGGTGGGGAGTTTTGCCCAGCTAGTGCACACACATTTAACTAGTTCACTTCCTTCACTTAGCCTTGCTTCCCACATCTGCAAGGTGGGATTATAACCCCTCTCTCTCAGCACTGATGAGAATTAAATATTCATCAATTTGTTTAACAAAGGGTCAAAAGATCCTTAAACATGCCATTTTCTGTGTACTTCACAATTTTTAACCTACTTAATCCTCATAGGGATAAGGACTCTTATCAGTCCTCATTTTAGTGATGAAGAAACAGAGGTAGGCAGCATTAATTGGTCTGTAGTGTGTGCAGAAGGGTGTCTGCCATGTAAGCACTAAGAATAGCCACAGATCTACTTTTGAATTGGCAGAACTGGGCTCAAATCTGGGTTCCTCCACTAACTAGCTATGGAACCTTGGATAAATTACTTCATCATTCTGGGCCTCAGTTTCCTCATTTGTAAAATAAGGGTGATGGCTCTCTTACAGGTGGTTTTAAGAATGGACCTGAAATATTGTAAGTGAGCCATCCAGCCCATGCCTGGCACACAGTTGCTCATTAAATAATGGTTCTATTATTCTCAGAATGGGTACTTAACTGATGTGTAGGATGATTCTTGGCATGGACAGTAGCTGTGGTGCCACTGAGAGGGATATGATACAACTTATTGTCCAGATCAGGAGACATGTTAAACAACTATGGTATTTCTAACAGTATGTTAAAAATCATCTTTTTTAAGTTTAATTTCAAATACAGACAAGGTTTAAGACTTTATAAAGCATGCTACCAAAAACCATACACAAAGACCTACATGATACTCAGTGAGGAAAGAGGCTGAAAGACATGTATTAATATGATGAATTATATTGATTAATGTTCAAGCATCAAACCAACCTTGCATTCCTGGTCATCATACAGTTTGTTCATTGATACATGGATGCATGGATACAATTTGCTGATATTTTGTTAAGAATTTTTGTTTCTATGTTTATTCTTTCCTTTTTCTGGTTTCCTGTTAGCCTCATAAGATGAGTTGGGACATGTACCCTCTCCTGTTTTCTGAGGGAATTTTTATAAGAGTGTATTTGTATAGGTGTTATTTATTCCTTTTATGTTTGATAGACTTCACCAATGAAGCCATTTGGGCCTAGACTTTTCTTTGAAGGAGCTGTTTTTTGTTTTGTTTTAATTACACATTCAATTTCTTATAATTGATATATAGCCTTTCATATTTTCTATTTTTTGTTGTGTTTAGTAACTTGTATCTTTCAAGGAATTTTCCCATTGCATTTAAATTGCTGAAATTATTGGTATAAAGTTGTCTACAATATTTATTATCCTTTTAATGTCTGCCAGATCTGTGCTGATGTCCCTTCTTTTATTCCTGAGACTAGTAGTTTGGGTTTTCTCTTATTTTCTTGATTAGGCTAGCCAAAGGTTTGTCCATTTTACTCATTTTTTTCAAAGAAGCAGCTATTAGTTTTATTGGATTTCTCCATTGTTTGTCCATTTTCTATATTACTGATTTCAGTTCCATATTATTTCATTCCTCTACTCACTTTGAGTGTTCTTTGTTCTTGTTCTAATTTTTTAGTTTAGAGAATTGGTTTTAGACCTTGTTTCATCCTTAATATACACAGTTAAAACTATACATTTCCTGTAAGTGCTAGTTATGCACAAATGTACCACACATTTCAATGCATTGTTCTTTTATTTTCATTCAGTTTTTATTTTCTAACTTCCCTTATGATTTCTTTTTTGAATCATGGATTATTCAGATGCATGTTGTTCGATTTCTAAATATAAAGGGATTTTGTAAATATATTTCTGTTACTGATTTCTAATTTAATTGTGTAAGGTCAGAGAAAATACTCTTCATGATTTCAATCTTTTTAAATTAACTGAAGCTTGTTATGACTTAGCACATGGCCTGTCTTGACAAATGTTCATGAGCACTTAAAAGAATGTGTGTTCTGTAATTGTTGAATGGGGTGTTTTAGAAATGTTGATTAAGTCAAAACTGTTGATGGTGTTATCAAAATCTTCTAAATTCTTACTGGTTTTCCATCTACTCGTTCTAGCAATTACTGGGAGAGGAGTGTTGAACTCTCTAACCACTCTACCCTTGGTAATATTCTATTCCCAAAGGATGTTTCTCTGGTATTAATATAGCTACTCCAGCTCTCTTCTACTTAGTGTTGTGTGTTATGTCATTTTCTATCCTTTTACTTTTAACCTATCTGGGTTTTCCTCTGTAATGTAGGTTTCTTCAAGATAACATATAAGTGTGTCTTGCTGTTATATACAGTCTGACAATCTCTGCCTTTTAATTGGAATGTTTAGGTCATTTACATTTAGTGCAATTATTGTTATGGTTAGGTTTAAATCTACCACATTGTTATTTGTTTTTAGTTCTATCTGTTATTTGTTCCCTCTTGCTCTTTTCCTGCCTTCTTTTAGATTGAGTATGTTTTAGTATTTCATTTTATCTGCACTAGTGGCTAATTAGGCCTCATTCTTTCTCTCTTAGTGGTTATTCTAGAGTTTATAGAATAGTCTTTAACTTATATGAATCTATCTTCAAATAATATTATACCACTTCATCTGTCCATTTTTAAGATTGTCTCTGTTATTGATTTCAGAACATTGATTGTAATCTGCCTTGATGTACTTTTCTTTGCTAATTCTATGTAGGATTTTTTGAACTTCTTGGATATATGGGTCCCTTGAGCATATTTGTAATATTTTTAACAAATGTGTCAAAGTTCTTGTCTGCAAATTCCATCATCTCTCTTATTTCTTGGCCTGGGTGATAGGTCAGATTTTCCTGATGTCTAGTAATTTTATATTGGACACTGGACATTGTAAATTGTACGTTGTTGGGTGCTTGATTTTGTTTTATTCCTTTAAAGAGTGTTGGGCTTTGTTCTGGCAGATGGTAAAGTCACTTGCAGATCAATTTGATCCTTTCATCAGATTTGCTTTAAGCTTTTTACAGAGTTGATCTAGAGGAGACTTTTACTCTAGAGCTAGTTTAGCCCCACTACAAAGGAGTGACTCTTCTGGGGCTGTTAATAATGCTAGGTAACAATAAATCATAGGGCTTATATCTTTTTTTTCCCTCTTTGTTCTCTCAGGATTGTCCATCCTGCACTGCTTGTTGACCAGTATCTGAAAACTGATATTTCACACATTTTGCCTATTTTTCTGATTGTTTATGGCAGGAGGGAAAGTCTCTGGCAGTTATCCCTTCGTGGACAGAAGTCTCCTGTCAGTGTGGTCAGGCAGAGGAGGCAAGGAGGTGCTTGAGGTACCCTGTGCATCCCTCATGTCCCAGGGTGATCAAAGGACCCCCCACCCCAGGGACAGCAGGCTGTGGGCAACCTGGGTTGTGGTGACACCTGGTCAAAGCCTGTGTTGAGGTTGCTGGGCCTCAAGGTTGAGAAGGGTAGGCACAGAACTTGGACCATTCAGGGTTGTTTGAGAAGAGCCTTGGAGATGGGCCTCCACTGTCATGGTCCTTTTGCAGGGACAAAACCTGTAGGAGTTGGGTAGTGAGGGAACTTGGTTTACAAATGACAGTGTTTGGATGAGGATGGGGTCCCTAGGGTGTGACTCATGACCCAAATCCAGCCATCTGAGACTTCTTTTCAACTAAAAACTTAAAACCCCTTCTCTTCCTATCCTCCATGATAAATGTCCTGATTCAGATCCTTTGTCCACCACTCACCATATGTGTGACATCAGGCCAGTTTCAAATCTCAGCTTCTTCATCTGTAGGTAAGGTGAGCACAAAAAGTGCATCACATCTTGTTACAGAAAATACTGGAAAACCTGGACTGGATCACTGACAGAAGAACTAAGTAGCACTTGGAGGTCTTGGAGTGTTGAGGTTTTATTCTTATACCAGCAGGCTCAGAGGGGAGTAATCTCCCAATGTCTGAGCCCTGAGCACAAGCAAGGGGAGCAATTTATATTTTTTGATAGGTGGCATCTTGGCAGGTGCAGGGTAAAAGAGGAGCCTGGAGGAGGGGAGGGGGGAGCTGGAAGGGCTTTGCCAGCCAGAGGGAAAAAGCGGTTTGCTGACCTTGATGGCTGTGTTGAATATTTTCCTTATCACTCCCCTCTCTGATGCCCCTTTAAACACTTCATTTTAGCGAGCATCATCTTTTTGGTTTATGATAAGGTTTTAATGGCTTGTATTTATATTTTTAATTGCTTTGAGCTAGGATTTTTTCCTTGTGACTTTTTCTTTAAGTTCTGAGTACTTTGTGAAGAACACAAATGATTATGTTTTTACGCATTTGTCAGTATGGGCCTTGTGTGTACAAGTTAAAAGGAGTCCTTCAGACTCTTGATAAGCCTGTGCTTTGCAAAAAATACCCAGTTTTTCTCAGTCTTAATTTATTTTTATGCAGCTGAGCATTACACTCGGGCTGGCTTATCTGAGTGTGAGAGGACAGGTGCTAAAGGTGTAGGGCCACTGAGGGCAGCTCCCTTGGGTGATGACCATGCACTTTATAACTTTTGTACAGTTAAACATTATAGAGAGGTACTTTGGAAATGCAGGCTGAGATTTGAGTTCAGCTAGAAGAGACAGGTAAGCACAGTAAAACAACTTAATGATTACCCAATAGATAATAGAAAGGACAACTTTTTGAGGAACAGTTTAGTCAGAGGGTGCAACAGCAGAGAGTTTAATGCCCAGGATGAGAGATTCCATTCTGGCGAGGGCCAGGTGCCACGGCATGCAGATGTTCATTAGTCAGAGGGTGA